GCAGTGGTGCCTCTTGCAGCCTCCTGTAAGAGCTGTGGGCTTGGGAGATGGCTGCTCACAATCGCTCTGTGGGGAAGGAGAAACGGCCTCGGCTGTTTTCAGTCCCATTGCAGGCTGCTGTGATGGGGGTCAATATGCTGACTCTGGCTCTCCTTGCTGGAATATAGTTAAAGGCTGATTTTTTTTCCTCTCTTTTAATGCCTAGAACAAAATTTATTCTTTTTTCCCTTGCTATTATAAGGTGAGTATTTGGATTGCCAAAGAGGTTCCTGTTTAAAAGGTGTAACACACTACATTATCACTTAGGCTTTGCCACATCTGCCAAGAAGCAGATGTGATAATGGGTGGAGAAGAGAAAAGCCACACTAGCGATTGCTCTTGGAGTTGATGCAGACTAACCCCTTAGTTTGCTCCTGAGATTTACGGTGGTGTCTCTGGTTTGTGAGATGCCATCAGGTATTTGCTCCTTCATTAATTGTGGAGTCTTGCAGACTTTCCCTCCTCAGCTTTTGGAGGCAAGGCGTCTGCTGACATTCATTGTTCAAGTTGCAGATTGGTTTCTGTAAACTGGTTATTTTTATTTCTAATATGTCTCTGCACATGGGGGCTCTTTTGTTGTTGGTCCGGGTACAGACTGGGTCCTGACAGCCTGCATCCTCTGAAACAAGGGTGACTTTTTTTTTGTCTTTCTAAGTGAGCCCTCTATGCTTGTTGGATAATGTTTACCCTGGCTTCTCTTTCCTGGGTACTCTATTACTCATTAATGTTCAAATCCTAGCAAATAAATAAATGATTTTTGCTATGGAAACAGGAGTCTGGTGGCTAAACAGCACAATAATCCCTGAAAAGCTTGCCTTATTCTTCCCAGTATGGCTCTGATTGCTGGGCAGAGTATTAATGTATTGATATATGGGTTTGAGTTGGACCCTGGGTTTGTGACACAGTTTTGGTGACACATTCAGCTGAGTAAATAGTGACAAGTCCCTGCGAGCATGCACAGCTGAAGGGTGCAAAATTCTTTTTTTTCACAACTGGCATCTGCTGCTGAGGCAGAAACAGGGAAACTGCTGCTGAGACCCGATGAGCAGAGTTCTCTGGCTGAGCTTGAGTGTGCTTGACTCTTCTGGGATACGTTTTTCTTCTAAAGAAAATAACCCCTGTCGCCATTTGAGTTTCCATAAAAGTCTGTACAGTCTGGCAAGGCGCTGCTGATTGTGCAAACCTGTTGTTTGTGCCATTACTGGGTTCTTGATTTTTCTTTTTAGATGGTTCTTGGAACTATGCACAATGCTCAGTTCTGCTCATTAGCTGCTCAGGGGATTTCTTAAGGCAGTTGTGTTGACCCATGTGTCCTCTAGTTTTGCCCGAATAAGTTGCCCTCCATCTTCTGTTGGATCAAGCAGAGCTGTTTTGTGCTTCCCCTGAAACCACCTCGTGCTTGGAGAGGGGAGCTCACAGTGGGGAATCTGGGCAATGCCACTGCAGGTTTATTGCTTTGAGTTTTGGGGATGCTTTTGGGGCTCTCGCTCTGCGTGGGCAGGGTTGCCCAAGTGCCCGGGGTGGTGTGCAGGTGTGGGGAAGGCGGCCGCTGGTGCAGAGCCTGTTTACCAGAGTCCAACCCCGGGCCAGCGCCTGGTTGTTCCTCCAGTGTTTGCTTTGCCTGGGTGCGTCCCGGTGCGTTATTGCAGGGTGGCCCTGGGGCTTTTCTTGCTTTTGGCAGCAGCTCACTGGGTGCAGGGGGTGGGACGCTACTGTAGAGCAACCCGACATGGTTTTGGGGAGGGGGAAGCTTGTGCTGGGGTGCATTCATGCCAAGTGGGACTGCCTGGTGTCAGCCCTCCACGTAGGCTGCACTTGCCCAGCCAGAGGAGTTGCTGAAGCAGCAAATTACCTTGTTATGAGCTTCCCCCGGGCTGGGGCCCTGGGTGCGTGGGGCTGGCACTGCTGTGGTTGATGACTGCTCTTTCTGAATAGCTTCCATGTTGCCTCCTGCAGCACTGTGGCCTCTCTGCAGCAGGTACCCGAGGAACGCTGGTGGCAGGGGGTTCTGCAGGACACCCAGCCCGGCTCCAGGGAGCGAACGTGGCCCGAGTCGAATGGGCTGTGGGCAAGGGGGAGCTGATTTAGTTTAGGGCTCAGGCTGGAGCTGTTGGTGTGTTGGCTCTGGGCACTGCGTGCGGGGTGTCTCCTGGTCATTTCCGCTGCTTTCTACTCTGTTTTTACTCCCTGGTGAGGCTGTTTTCTCCTCCTGTACTACATGCAGCTTTGGTCCAAATTGGACTCAAAGTGATCTTTCTTAGAGATTTCCTCCTGACAGCAGAAAACCAGGAAAACTCAGTTTTGTCTCCCAAGCTTAAATCCTAAAACCAAGGCACATCTCTCCTGTCCCCTTTATTTTCTGTGTTTAGCCAAGTACTTCTTGCCCTTCAGCACAGTTGCCAGCACTGGTAAGAGGCCTGCATGCAGTCTCTGGCTCTGGGATAACTTCTGAGCTTCCAGGAGCCCTGGGCACCTCCACACTCGTGGCCTTCGTGCCTGGCAGTGTGGCTCAGCCCTGCAGTACAGACGCCACATTCATTGTGAGCAGTCGGTGCCTGCTCCGCTGCCTGGCTCGGATCAGGGAGCGTCTAGGTCAGCAGCAGGGGTAAGAAATTCAGGGAACAGCAACTGGAATGCTCTGATCTTCAGGGCCATTTTATTCTAACCCCTTTTCTCTGAAATATAATAATTCCTCTCCCTTTGTGTCATCTGGAGAAGGTCGGAGTGTCTCTGGCCAGGGCTGGGGCAGGGAGTGGGGAAAGGCAGCTGATTGCCTTCTCTGCTGTTTCCATCGTGTCTTCTGGGAGTGTGTGGAAGGCAGCCAGCCTGTGCCCAAGGTACATCCCGGACTCAGGCAGAGTAGCACACAGCTCTGTCATGCTTCTTTGCAGTACAGAGGAGGCTCTATCGCTGTTACCTGGGTTTGATCCAAGCTCCTGTCATTGCTTTTCTGTAAAGCAGCGGTGAAGTGCTCAGTCTTGCCCCAGTGCTCCTTTTGGAAACCCCTCTCGCCCACATAGCCCCAGCGTGCCTGTCTCTGGGCAGTGCAGGGTACCACAGCAGCAGGCTGGCTCCGGCTCCTGCTCAGGTTCAGGCCCCTGTGCAGTTACAGGTTCAGCTTCAGAAGACCCCGTTGGCAGCAGCAGCATCATCACACCGGTGCTGCACGTGCAGGAGGTGCAGGGAGGCATCGACTGCTGTTGCAAGAAACACACTCATCTGGGCAGCCCGTGTGGTTGCTCGGTAGCTGCTTGGGGCCACGTGCTGTTTCTCAGCCTGGGGAGTGTTTTGTATATGAGGGAAACTGCAAATGTGGCACATGGGGCAAATGTGCTACATGTTCTTCTTGCCAGTTATTATTATACAGCATCAAAAGAGATCTTCTGAACCACCCAGCTCCTGTCGCCTGTCACAGGCAACCATGCCCTTTTAATTCTGTTCATAACCCTGTTAGCTCAATTTTAAATGTGGTTAGAAGTAAAGGGATCGCAACACCCTTTTAGGCAACTGCTCCTGAACCTTGAACTACATTGGCTAGATACTTCCCTACTTTTGGCATTAATTTATTCCTGGCAAGATTATCCTCCTTGTTTTTCTGTTGTATGCTGGCATCAGCTGTTCTTCTCTGCTCCTTGGTGTTTATTTTCTTGGTGTACTTACAAAGTGCTATTATGCTTTTTTCCAACCTTCATTTTTGCTAGTATGAGCAAGCTGAATCTCCTCTCCACCTCTTGAGATGACTTGTAACCAGATCATCTAAGCCGAACGGTAGATAATGATTAGGACATGTAAGGCTGCAGGGGAACAATCCCTTCCCTCAGCTTTTACTCTGAACAGCACATCTGGAGTTACTGTGTCTGAGTTTGGGTGTCCTGCTACAGGATAGATGCAGAAACTGGAGCAAGTCCAGCAGAGGCTACCAAAGTGTTCCTGGGGCTGGAGCAAATGGCATATGAGGAAGAGCTGAGGGAGCTGGTTGTTCAGCCTGGAGGAGAGAAGCGGGGAATCCGACTGCTGCTTCCAACTACCTGCAGGGTGTTACAGGGACGGTGGAGCCAGGCAGTCCCTCTTTCCAGTGGAAATACCTTGCTTTATTTCTGGTTTATTTAAGCAGCATCCTCATGATGCTACAGTCCTGTAGCCAATCCAGAGTTTTCTTTCTCAGTTATTCACAGGTGATGAGCTTCTCTTTGAGCAAGTCTTGGTCTTAAACATCATTCCATTTCTAGTGTTCTTGCTCTCCAGTTTTCTGAATGACCCATAAAATTCTGGTTTTCCCTTGACAAATTCCCATGTTGGAGTCATCTTCATTTCCCAGTCTCACAGTTACTGTGCAAAGGTTGTTATTGAGAATACTAATTAAAACCAGTTTCAGAACAGAACCTTTAAGGACTTCCCACTTGCCCATTATTTTCCCTCTACTACTATCATCTCCCCTTCAGCTGCTTCCATCTTCTCACTTCTGGTATTAAACTCTGTTTTTATCTAGCTTAAATAGCTTTTTTGCCAGGATGTCCTCCCAAAAATGTAGTCCTGATCACTGATGTTGCTGTTGTCTAGAGCATGATCACACAAACAAGTTGGCAGGCAGTAGCAATGTCACCTTTCCAACATGTGGATGCTTTCCTTTCCTCCTTGGCAACACCGATCCCTCTCGAGGGACACGCCAGCAGCTCCTCCTGGCTGCAAGGCATCAGTGTTAGATGATGGCAAAGTATGTGCCAGGGCAAAAAAACAGAGGTGCTCTCGACTTCTCAGCCTCCATCCCATCTATTTGGCTACCTGCCTTTGTGGCTTCTCTCAGTGTGGTAAGAGGTTCGGCAAGGCACGTGCAGAAATGTGGGGGGATATGCAGTGCTCCTTTAAACCAGGCTGAAGCCCTGGCGTGGGAGGTGGCCCTTGCGTTAGGGTCAGTGGTTTCTTGTGCCACTTTCTAATAATTCTCCTTCACTGTTGTCTAGATGAAGATCTCTTTCAATGAGACAAGTTTGCAGACTATGTTTGAGTACCCATCAGAGAGCTCACTGGCAGAAGAGGAGGAAGAGGAAGGACATGCTCCTGAAACGGAGGAGGACAAATCTCGCACCTTTCACATTCCACGCCCAAATAGCACTTTGCAACCCAGTACAGCTAACTCAGGTGAGCCAGGCACCGTGGGGTTACTGGTGCTGCCTGACACTGTCCATGTTTCCTCCAGACCCTTATAGAGCTCCACACAGGTGGAAATGCTAATGGAAGTGACTTTTGCCAGCTGATGGCAGAACTTGGGCTTAGTGGGCACAAGGCTTGAACCAAAAGAGAGAACTGCATGTGGGCAGCTTCCATGCTGTCCCTGCCAGGATCCTGATCCCACTTCGTTTTGGGGTGGTGAAAAATATTTACGTCAACTTTGTCCTTCCAGCAGATTTATCCAGCTATACCCCAAAGCACTCCGTGAAGTTCAGCACATGGCAGGAGCAGAAGTATGAGGAGACGCCTGCCACAGAGGGACCCCTCCTGAAGGAAGCCGATTCCCATGGGAACCAAGTCATGGTGAGACTTTAAATAAGCAAGTCTTGTCTTTGTCCTGCTGTGCTCCTACCCGGTGCTCGGGTTGGTCTGGACAGTGGATGGGACAGGACGTGCTTTCCACTGAACACTTGTGTTTGTGCTCACCGCCCCAGTGAGGCGAGACACTGCTCACAAAGGGACCAACACAAGGTCCCCTGCCCCTAGCAGGCCTGCATCTCCCTGTGTGTGTAAAGGAGACTGAGGGCAGCTGGCACACTTTGTACTCCAGGGCACGTTTGGAGGGGGGAATTAAATGTGCTCGTTAGCTCTGGGCAAGGCGCCACTGCTGCCTTTGCCATCCAAAGGTGCGGGTACTCATTTGCTTTGGATTTGATGACACCTCCCTGTCAACTCTGCTTTCTCCACAGCTCACCCCAGCAGAGAAGGCCGGACTCTCCGGTTTCAGCAGCGAGCCTGCTCTGTATTTTTGATCGCTTCATCTTCTAGCCTGCAGCAGCAGCTGCTGGACAAAACGTGTCAGTGCACCTTCCGAATGTCCATGCAAGCACCATGGAAATAAGCTTCTGGGTCTCTCCCTCAGCACAGTTTGCTTTGGATCCTGATGCCAAGGGTGGACTAGATGCTATCGGGCATCTTCGGAGAATATTTGCACTGGATTCTGGGATCTAACTACTACTTTTAAGGCATATAATTTGTTCTGCCTGTGGCCTTGCATATTCCTTGTTCAAGATCAGCTGCCAGTTTGGCAAGTGTTTTAAGAACAGATCTGTAATCCCGGAATGGATGTAGTTTCTCTCAATGCTTACCTGAGTCCACTCATCCAGGCACCATACAGGGTCTGGACAGCTTTTGTAACACTTCTCCCATCAGAGGCTCCAGTGAAGAATGGTTCTGGAGTTGGAGCACTGGGAGTATCTGGGCAGTTAGCCAGATTCACAGAAGTGGTTGTGATTTGACATCTAGATTGGGTGTCAGTTTGGAAAACCGTTGAAGATTCATAGTTTGTTCTTGGCATGTTTCTAGGTCTAGTTTCACTGAACCATTATGGAATTAATGTGCCAGTTATGTTCTTGTGAAGAAAGCCGAATGCACTGTGTGAGGGATGGGAAGGGGAATAAATGCTTTTAGTTTTAGGTGTCATTTTTGCACTGATCTGTAAACAGGTGTCCAGACTGGCTTGAGCCTCTTGAAGATTCCCAAACATTGGCCATAGCTTTTATCTGTCCGTGCCCAACTCTGGTGTCCAGACCCTAGTAACTGCTGATTGTGCTTCACTTTGGCAGTTCCTCTTGTTGCTTTGTTGTAGCATCTAATGGGGCCAGGCCCAAGACGTATCTGTCTTCGCTGGCGGGGAGGCTTCCTTCTAGCCATGCTTGCTCTACTCCTCTAATGCAAAGCACAGGAGGGCAATTTCACTCCTTCTGCAGAACTTGAACAAGGAATATATTTTTTTTTCTAGAATTTTTATAGTTCTATTGTAATTGTTTAATGCAGCCAATATGCAAAAGAATCTGCTAGACTCTTTAAGTTTTCTACTACTGTAAACTCAGGGTCAAAACTGCACTCTGGAAAAGATGGAACACTGCTGCTAATGTGATTTGTACTTCTGGGATTAAAAGAGATGCAGATGGAATAGATACGGCCTCTTTGGGCTTTATAAAATGAGTGGTACCCCAGTGTGTGGCTCTATGCAAAGGAACAGGCTGATATCTTTGATTAAACTTGATATTTGTACTAGTTTGTCTACTACAGATAGGTGAGAAATACCTAGTCAAGCTGACTATGAACTGAATATGCTCCGGCTATCTTGCACTTGTTTTGGTGTATACTGTAGCAGCTGGAGGAAGGTTGTTCTGCTGAAAAATATGGTCAGGACTAAATGTGTAGGACATATATACTTCTAGCTGTTCTCTTCTGCTCTGGGTGCCTAAATGTTTCTGAAAAGATAATGCAGAAAAAAAAAAAAAAAGTCTCAGCAGCTTGTTAGATGTTAGCTGGAAGGGCCATAAAGGAAGATCTTCCATCTCCTACTTCTAAGGCTTGTCCTTTCCAAGCTAACTTGTGACCTCCCAGGCGCAGTGTGTGGCTGGCAGCACATCTGCCTGTGACACCACACAAGTACACTGGAAAGAGCAGTGAATCCCATGTGCTGAGGCTTCTCCCATTAATGAAATACTTCAGGACAAGATGCTGAGACTGGGGTAGAATGAGGAAAAATGCAGGACTGCTAGTAACTGCTAGATTTAAGGGATGGGTAGGTTACCGGATAGGTGGAGTTAAACACTGAGCACTGCCCATGGCTAGCACCCATGCACACAGCCAGAGGAGATCAGGAACCATATTTGAACAAAAGGTTATGCACAGCTTTTCTAGCAGAAAAGGTCCCAGTGAGCATCTTGCACTGTGGAAAACCTCAGGCTAGTTTAAGGCAGCTCTATCTCTAGATTTGCAACTTAATAAACTGCAAGTGGTGAAGCAAAAGCTGCTTGCAATTAAAGTTAACGAGACAAGGTGTCTGAGCTAGTCCTGACTTCATTGTGCTGTGGATCAACAAGGAATGCTAAAGCCAACAATATCCTGCAGCTTGTTCCACTGACTTCAGCCAACTGAAATGCTGCTCTGGTACTCTGCATGCTGTTCTCAGTGAATTAGCTTTGTGCCTACAACTTCTCTGGTTAGGACAGGCTCAGTGGAGGTGTGAGAGTGCAGAGTGTGCTTCTCAAGGGGAGCACTTGGTGCCCTGGTGTGCTGCTGACTTCTCCTCCTTCCAGTTTGCCTGCTCTACCTCACAGCTGTGATTTGCACCTTGCTGAGTGCTGCCTTCCGCTTCCCAGCTTTGTACTCTAATCCCTGCCTGTACCTCATGAACCCTTAGCTTGTTCTTGGCAGAGTAAGGTGAATGCTGTTTTGAGGGCAGAAACATTAGCTGGTAAGTCACCTCCTGGGATATGCTTCAGTATCACTGTGCTCAAAATAGAGTCTTTTTTCTTTATAGGATGCCTACCCTGATCTCTAGCATTTGAGGATTAACTGTAGTAGATCTCTAACTAATACCAAAGTGCATCTGAAAGAAAAGTTTACTTCTGCAAAACAAATACTTTTAATAAATGTGTGTCATTCCTGTACCAGAACAGCAGCTGTCACAGACCAACAGGACTTTACAGGTTGAAGAACAAGTTTAGGAATGCTTTTCTTCACGTGCTTGTTTTTCTTTTGAAGTGCTTTGTGGCTCACTGGCTTTACCAGCATTTTCAATTTCTCCCTTCAGGACATCTAGCAGTGTCTGGGAACTCTCCAGAATCTGGGGAAGAAAGAAATAAAAATAGCTTATTCTTACATAAACTCTTATGAGTTCCCTTTGAATTTAGCTGATCTACCTTGCAGCAAGAGGGATTCTGCAGCGCTTACAATATCTCATTCTTGGTGACGTATCATCCTATCTCACTGCAGGAATATCTGTGGTGGAATTTCTCTGGTTCGTGCCCATATTCTGAATATGAAACACTTTAAACAATTTATCTGTCTTGGAGCACAAGGCAGAGAACTTCCTGAAGCAGGCTGTGGGATGAACTTCAGGTTTTGGTTTTGGTGTTTTATTTTTTTTTGTTTGGGTTTTGTTTGTTCTTTTGTTTTGTTTTGGGTTTTTTTTAGGGAGATGTTGATACCTGTGCTTTTCAGATAAGTAGTAAATTGTGCTCAGCTGACCCAGTTTCACCTGTCTTCCACTGTTAAAACTGTATGCTTCAAGTTTCTTGCTTAAGGTCATTGTGGAGTTGAATTAATCTTTAAGTTAGACTAAATGTTTCCTTTTATTCTTTCTCCTATTTCTAGCTTATATTGTATATAACCTCACATTCCCACTTGCTATTGTCTAGGAAGCAAGGTTACAGAAGGTTTAGGAGATCTTGTTGCCTGTTCCTCTTGCCATTTTAAAGTTTTAGCACCATGGACAATTGTAACAAAATGCGGTAGTAGGGTTGTAGTCCCAAAGATCATTTATGTTCCTGTGAACCTGTGGAAGTCAGAGGTGAAGGTAAGTGCCCTGCAGGACGAGACACTGGCAGAATGTGTTGGTAGGATCTTGCAGTCTTGTCCGTAGAAGAAGGTGGAGTCCTGTGACTGTCACGGGCTGGGAAAAGGCAAGGAGTGTGATTACAGACAAGAGATGTACATCCACAGGAAAAGAACTTTGTTACTGGTTTCTGTTTGCATGATGTCTGCATTTCCTCCCTAACCACCTCTGCTTTTTACTTACTGTGACTGTCTCTTTATTTCAATAAACATTAATTCATTTCTAGGTTGGGGGGTTGTGACTTGTATCTCAGGGAAGGTTTATTTTAAAAGGTGTTGTTTGTTCATGTAGCTTTACAACAGTTTCTAAGCTGTTAACTCTTTATGCAAGTTCTCCCCTTCACACCATCAATTCTTGAAGCAGGCTCAGAAAACAGCTCCAGCCTCAACTAGGAAAGAATTGTCACTGGAATGTACTGACTTTGGGAGATGAAGACTTGATACAGAGTAGCAACCACATTAAAAAAACGCATAGGAAAAGGAGACTGCAGGCAGCATCTAATGGGGGGTGGGGTGGGGGTGGGTGCTTTTGAACTAAACAGCTCCTTGTTGCCAGCCAAGGGAAGGTCATTGTTTATCAGAAAGTGGGCTGGAAAGATTTTTTTTTTTTTAAAAAAGCTGATTGGTGTGTAATTCAAAAGTGAATTCAGCTGTTACCCTGAATGAAGCAGATGAAGCAGTCCCTGCCTGGCAGAGTTTAAACTATAGGAAAGGTGATGGGGCTGAGACATCCCAGTAACTGAAATAACAGTAAGAGCCCTGGTGCTGTTCTCCTCCTCCCCACTTCTTTACTGAGCCAACATTTCTACTTTTTTAATATCATGATATTATTCCCTTACAGATGGAAGAAATTACATAAAAAGTTGGGCAAAAAGGGTAGAGTGCCTAGTAGGCCAACAGTTCTGTCATCAGTTTGTTGCTACCTGTCTGAACTCATGGTCTTCCATAGTTTCCTCCTTCCCCCCCAAATGATGGTTTGAAAGATGGTCTTCTTCTGGGGGTCCATTCCAAGGACCATTTTGATGTATTCTGACAACGTGCTTCAACTTGAGCTCCAGTTTCGCTCCCTCAGCTCCGAGGCCCCGTTACCCTTCCCCTGTCCTGCTCGGTGGTGCCTGCGGTGGGCGCTGCGGGCCCGGCCGCCGGCCTGAGCCCTCGGCGCCGGCGGGTTTCGCTGCCCCGAGCCCGGGCCCACCCTCCCCGTCAGCGGGGGCGGCGAGCGCCGGGAGCTCTGTCCCGCCCGGCAGTACCTTGCCGTAGGCTGCCTCGGCCTCCGCGATGGTCCTGTCGAGCTCTCCGCGGGCGGCCAGGTGCCGCGCCAGGCTCTCGCTGGTGCCGGCCAGCCGCTCGGTCAGCGCCCAGATGCGGCCCTGCAGCCGGCTCCGCTCCGCCTCCTCCCGCCGGATCCGCCCGCTCAGCTCCTCCCGCCGGGCGCGGAGCTCCGCCAGCCCTGCGCCGCACCGGCCCCGTCAGTCAGCCCCGGCCCCCTCGGCCCCGGCCCCTTCGGCCCCGGCCGCGGCCCCGCTCACCCTCCCGCAGCTCCGCGTTGTACCCCCGCAGCGCGGCCCCCGGCCCGCTCATCGCCCCGGCTCGGCCCTGCCCAACGTCCCGCCGCGCTCCGCCTCTTCCTGCGGCGCGGCCCGCATGGAGCCGCCGGCGGGCGCGGAGCTCTCGGCCGCCTGGCACACGCTCAGCACCGCCCTGGTGCCGCCCGCCGCCCTGGGGCTGGTGAGCGGGGGGGGCCGGGCCGCGGGGGGGGGGGACGCGCCGCTTCCCGCTCACCTCGCGCTGCCGGCGGGGTCTCTGGGCCCTGTCGCGTCCCGGGGCAGGCCCCGGCTCCGCCGGCCCTTGGGGTGGCCGCAGCCTTCCCCCCCCCGCCCCGGCCTGGCCGCTCCCCTCCGCTCCCGGGTCCGGTTTTCGGTGCTGCCGCGGGGCAGGTGGGAGCTGCGGAGGCTGAGGGGAGAAACGGCTGGGGCTGCCGGCTCGGGAAGAGGGGAAGAAAGGGGGGGTCTGGCGGTGCGGAGGCTCGGGGGGCTGTCACAGAAAGGCCGTGGGGGGTCCAGCCGTCCCCCTCTTCCTCATCACAAAAAGAGACGCTGCTGCTTCCCCCGACCGTGCTGCAGCTCTGCTCCCCGCGGGAGTCAACGTGTTCTGGGGAAGGTTTTGCCCCAGAACCTGGCTTTTTGGGTGCCCGAGGGTGGATCCTCCATGGGGGAGCGGTATCTGCCTGGTGCCCTTCCACAGCAGGGTCTGTGTGCGTTTGGATCCTGCTCTTTGGGATGGACAGTCTCGTCTGCCTCAGGTCCTCCTACAGAAGTCTTTATGCCTTGCCTATTATCTCAGTATCCCCTCTGCTTTTCAGGCAGCACCGAGGTCGGATGCTGCGGGGCCGCTGAAGGATGCCGACCTGCGGGCAGCCCTGGACGTGCTGCGGTGTTACGACTTGCACTCGATCGTGGAGGAGTGGTTCATCGAGGTGCTGCAGACAGACCTTCAGGCAAATATAGCTCCCGAATTCTGGAACTGCATCAGCCAGTATGAAAACACGGCTGAGGAGCCCCAGTGCTCCTCGCTCCTTCTGGATGCATTTTGTCTTCTCAAGCGCCGCCTGGACCCCTACCTGAACAGCCTGGAAGTTCTGGAGAGGTGGACCAAGGCAGGCTTGCTCCTGGGAACAGGCGCTCAGATGCTGCAAGAGAAGGTCTACACCATGTTCAAAGCTATCCTTTTCTTCTCCACTACCAAATCCTTCCAGGAGATGATCCAGCAGTTCTACAGCCGCACTTTCAGGATATACATGCGGCAGTGGAAGAAAGGAGAAGATGGAACAAATGAGTGTGAGAGCAGCATGAGTGAGACCGAGCAGGAGAGTGATACGGAGGAGGGTGGAGGAGAGAGCCCGCTGTGCGCAGGCTGCAACAGCAAGAGAGAGCAGTGCTGGTGCCCCAAAGCCATGGAGCAGTTTCAGCAGCTCAATGACATTCTGTACGTAGGTGATGGGGTGGTGGCTGTCACTTAGAACAAGCAGATGGTCCCGATGGGGAGCAGCAGCAGGTTTTCTCGATATCTGAAAACAGGAGGAGTTACACGTGAGGTCAGGCTGTACCGTGGTACCGGGTAGAGAACTTGTCACAGGGTTTCTGCAGCTGGTTGCCAACTGGTGGTTGAAATAGAGCGAAAGTTCCTCTCCCTGGATATGAGAATATCTTCTTCTTGCTCTAAGGTCTTCTGTCCACAAAGAAACAAACTCTTCTAAATGAAGAAGCTTTTGATGGCTAGAAAATAATGTTTGTAAGGAAGATGGGATAGCAGTAATGTTGTGTTATATATGTAGTGCACCTCTGTGGGCTATCAGAGCATTTAAACTAAGAGCTAGACCTATATCTGTGGAGCATACAGGGAGGAAGGTGCCTTCAGCTAGTTAGATGTTCTTGATTTGCTTGTACCTTTGCTTCCATACGTTCTGAATTGGGTTGCTGTCTGTGTCTGTAGCCGCCGGCTGAATTTGCTGGAGAGAGTGAGCGCCGATGCTGTCACGACCATCTTGCACAGGATGATCGAGGAGAGGATGGAGCAAAGATGCAGGGGGGAATACGAGCACTCCTTCCTGAATGAGTTCCAGGAGGTAAGGCAGGTGTGCAGGCATCAAGGGCCCTTCCTTTGGAGATGTGCAGCTGCTCCTGTTACTGGTTTAGCAGCTCAGGCTAAAAGCGGATTCCACCTGGTGCAGGGCTTGGACTCCCACCATCCCCGGCAGAAGAGGTGGTTAAAACTCCCCATTTTGATTTATGTTAGAGGGGAAGGTTTCCTCTGACCTGTGCATAACGGACCACTATATTTCACCTGGTGATGTCCCTAGTAATGAGGAAATTTCTGTGGTTCTGTTTTATAAACTACAAGAACATGTAGTGCCACCTAGGCACTACCCTCCCTGTGTGTAGGTGGGCCCATAATTAGAATTTACGTGGTTGTTTTCTGTCCTCTTTCCAGTTTTTCAGCACCCCTTTAAAATAGGAAGGGAGGATGGGAGATAATACTCAGGTACTGATCTCACCAGTGGGCCACATACAGAATTAAAATCCTTCCTTGCAACTACCCAGTTGTTTTGCTGCTACTGAATTCATGTTGGGCTGTTTACCCAGTATGACCTTAAAATAAAATTCTTCTCTGGGTTATGACTCTTCCAGGATACAGTCCTGGCTCTGCAGGCGTGCCCTGTGCTCTTTGTTCCTCGATGCATGACCTTGCCTTTGCTTGTGTTAAAGAACAATGTGTGAAGTCAGGTTGCCATGCAAACCAGACTGCTCTCTATGGTTGCCCTTAGTTTCCTTGTTTGTCACGCCGGCCATTTTTGTCATCTGCAAACATTGGCAGTCATTTTCTATTGACTTCCCTTTAGTTGCTGTGCAACACCTTCTTTATTGGACCTAGTGTGAAATGCTTTTGGATGACCTGGAGATTGTTTAAGGACATTTTAAGGGCACTGGAGAAAATGCAGCTGCATTCCACTTGTCAGACCTTGCAGAAGTTCCCCTTCCTCCCATCTCTTCAGAAACGTCAGTGTGTTTCACCACAGAATATTGGAGCATATCAGAATTAGGAAGAGATAATTTTAAAAGAAAAAAAAAAAAAAGGTAGATCCAGTATCCAAATTGGGAAGATATTTCAAAACATTAAAAAAGCACAAGCCTGGCAAGCTAAAGGTAAAATAGGAAAAGTCTGAGAAACAGTTTGCTAAAAGTACAAGTGCTGACAGCAAATCCCCTTTTCAGACACATCAGGAGCCGTCTTAGAGTGTCGGTCGCTCATCAAGCTATAGCAGGAGCATGCAGAGAAAATATACCTATGGGGAAAAATTGGTTGGTTTGATGATAATTGCATTCCTTAAAATTGAGTTGCTTTGTATCAGTTACAGTTCTTTCCTTTTGTTCTTTAGGAGAATTATTTTATCAATTTTTCCACAGTTTTGCCCAGGTCAATGCCCAGGTGTTCTGTAGTTCTCAGGTTTGTCCTGCTTTGTAATTAGCAGAACTTTTGCGTTCCCTCAGTGCTTCTTCAGTTGAGTAGATAATTAAAAATGAACATAATCAAACCAGACCTGAACTTAGCATTTTTGTTTCAGGTTGTCCAAATCCAGTTATCAAAAAAGATTAATATTTGTTAGCTGTTAGTACTCAAATACTATCCCAGGAAGTGCTACACGTTTGCCACCTTAAAGGAAAAATAAAATTTAAAAAACCCCTTTCTTTTGCATATCTGGATATCATAGTTGAGTACATTTTGAAATTTGACAATTACACATTTCTCTGTAGAAAACTAAATCTTAAATCTGAAAAAATGAACCTTCTGATAATCTCTGTTCAGGTTTTTATTTTATTATTCAGTGACTAGGCTGGTTTTTGAGGTCTTGGTTTCAAGTGCCCAAGCTTGGCTGGTCAGAGTATGTCTGTGAGTCCTTGGGATGGCTTGCTCGCTCTTCATTGATTTCAGGAATCATAGAAATTTTGGGCCAAGGGATTGACAATTTGCTCATATTCTCATAAAGAGAATAGTTCTGCAAGTATAGAATGGAATGGAATTCTGCAAGAATAGAATAGTCTGCAAATTTTTGAATATACCCTATCTGGTTTGGAGCCCAGTGTCAGTCACCCCTTGTCTTCTCACACACATCTGCACAGTCTATATCCTGTATATTTAGTTGAAGTTCCTATTCTTTCAGCTGGGCTTTCCCCAGCTATAACCCAGGCCAGGGTGCTTTTGGAGAGCAGCTGGAGGTAGTGCTGTCCTTGGCTAGCTGCTCGTTTCTGCTCGCCGCGGTAGCTGACTGCTGATGGGGGAGGTGTGGGTTGTGCATCCAGCTGTGGTGTTCACCAGCTCTCTGCTCTCCCTCTCCTTGGGCAGTGGATTGAGAAGGTGATAGGCTGGCTCAGCAGGGTTTTTCTGCAAGATGGTCCCTTGGCACGCTCCTCTCCAGAGGCTAGCAGCACCTTGAAGCGCTGGAGGTGCCACGTCCAAAGGTTCTTCTACCGCATCTACGCCAGCATGCGCATTGAAGAGCTCTTCAGCATTATTCGAGGTAGGTGTGACCCATTCAGTGTTCATTCACTCTTGGACTTGGATTGGATCTCCTGATGTGCCGTGCTGTCTCCTCTTGCCTTCCCACAGAGCATGGCACTGTTTCTAATCCCTGCTTGGTTTGTAGATTTCCCAGAGTCTAAGCCTGCTGTGGAGGACCTCAAGTTCTGCCTGGAAAGGACTAATCAGAGGCAGCAGCTGCTCAGCTCCCTGAAAAGTGCTCTGGAAATGCGACTTCTGCATCCTGGTGGGTTTTACGTCCCTGCGTGTTTCATAACACTGTAAGGAGCCTGGGCATGAGTGGGAGCCATCGTCTGATTTCACGTTTGAAGAGCGAGAGGCAACCAGGCCGTGCACATCGTGTGCCCTCTGTGCTGGAGTGCACATGGGCAGCAGTAGCTGATTATATCCCAACCCCTTCTTGCCTCATTTCTGCAGAATGGTGAGGAGCTGAGCTAGAAGCTTAGCTGTGGTCCAGGTGGGTAAAAGCTTCTCTGCTGTGTGTAGTCTGAGCTCCTAATGCAACATCTGGGCTCAGCTGGTTTATAGTATTCTCTGAGCCTGTGTTCATGGTTGGAACTGGTTTCTCAGAGATACAGATCCGATCTCTTCCTTTAGCCGGGGCAGTAGGGCAGCAAGCCCTTCACCTCTGACTCCATAGACCTAACAGAAGGCTTGGAGCAGCCAGGCTCCTTGCTTCCAAGCCCTTAGTCTGTACTCTGGGACTCTGACTCCCTCTGCCTCTCTCCTGTAGGAGTCAACACATCCGACATCATCACTCTGTATATCTCGGCCATCAAGGCCTTGCGGGAGCTTGACCCCTCTATGGTTATCCTGGAGGTTGCCTGTGAGCCCATCAGGAAGTATCTGAGGTAAGAGGCTTGCAGGGCAGCCTTACGCATCCCCTTTCCCTCCCCTTCCCTCCACTTGCTCTGTTTCTCTTGCCACTTGGCAGGACTCGGGAAGACACAGTGCGGCAGATTGTGGCCGGTCTCACAGGGGATGCTGAGGGCTCGGGTGATCTTGCAAACGAGCTCTCGAAAGCTGACCCAGTGACCCTGGAGAATGGCCAGGAGAGTGACGATGACATCTCAGAACCGGGGGACTGGGTTCCTGACCCGGTTGATGCAGATCCAGGTTAGGTACCAAGACCAGAAGTCCTGGCAGCCCACTGTTTTCCCCGGTGGGCTGTAGTCTTGAGCAGCTCCTCTGCTAGTCTGGAGCTGAGCTGGGCTGGGGCAGGTCTCTGTTAATCCCACACTGTCATTCTGCTGGATTTCACTAGGAAAATCAAGTTCCAAGCGTCGGTCCTCAGACATCATCAGCCTGCTGGTGAGCATCTATGGCAGCAAGGACCTGTTTATCAATGAGTACCGCACACTTCTGGCTGACCGGCTGCTACATCAGTTCAACTACAGTGCTGAGAGGTGAGGTTCAAATGCCCAGCCCCAGGGCTTTCTGTGGTAGAATCACCTGATAAAGGTGTGCTTCAGACTCAGTTTTACAAATGGCTGTTTCTGGAGCCAGGAATGTCTTTGGCCATTTCCTCTGCAGCTGTGGCTTTGCATCTAGAATTTAATGCGCTCAGCTTCTCTCAGGCTGCTTCCTGCTCAGTCCTGCCCTTGCCTTGCACTAATAGGGAAACATTTTGGAAATTGGAGGCACTGATGCCCTCTCAGCTCCATCCCACGTGTTCTTGTGGCCCTCACAACCTGCACAGGCTGCTTAGGGTCAGCAGAAAATGTCTAGGTGCCGTGCTCCTCCAAATAAAAGGGATTAAAAGGTCTTCAAAGAGCTGCTGGCCTACAGAGAAAGTGACTGTTCCTCACTTAGATGCTAGGAGGCATCCTGTTCAGATAATGTGCCTTGCAAGGCTTACTAGGAGGAACACCCTTGTGCCAGGGATTCCCTTTTTTGGCTATGTTGGCAAGGGGTGGAGGCCAAGCCAGGCTCATCTATCTGAGGGATCTGTGTCTGATCTGTTGTTTCTCTTATCAGGGAAATCCGCAACGTGGAGCTGCTGAAGCTGCGGTTTGGTGAAGCTCAGATGCACTATTGTGAAGTCATGTTAAAAGTAATTCTTTTTTTTTTTTTTTTTTAAATTCAAGTCCTGGGTGTTTGAGCTCATTAGGGAAGGGGAGGGACTTGAGCAGCGACCCAAGAAGGGTCTTTTAGGAAAGTGGGGTTCCAGAATCCCAGTAAGGGGGCTGAATTGTGACAGACAAGTGTATTCAAAATCACGTCTGTTTTTTAAGCCCTGTGGGTTGGGTTATTGACTCTTGGGGGTGGTTGCTCTGGTGCTGTTGTCTCTCCTGCCCTTCCTGCAGTACAGTATTCTGGCATTGAAGAGCTAGGCTCTTCCAGCTCCTCGAGGGTTGGGTCACAGGAGTTTAATTCACTTGGAGCACTGTGGGAAGAACACAGGTCTGGAGGGATTCCAGTGTTGAGTTGTAAGTCCTTCCTCAACCTCCCCACTGAGTATCTAGCAGACTTTCTAGCAGACACACATGATCATGTCCTTTCCAACGTCCCCATCGCTTGGAGACAACACTAATTAGTTTGTTTAAGCTTCTCCTTTACTAAGGGTTGGCACTGACTTGGAAGAGAAGGAGCTGCCTTAGCTTCCTCTGCCTTTTCCAGGATATGGCTGACTCGCGACGCATTAATGCCAACATTCGTGATGAGGAAGAGAAGCTCCCAGAGGAGGAGAGGCCACCGTTCAGCCTCGTTGCCGTTATCCTGTCGAGTGAGTTCTGGCCACCGCTGAAAGAAGAGAAGCTAGAGCTTCCAGAGCAGGTCAAGGAGGCTATGGAAGCCTATTCCAAGAAGTATGAAAAATTAAAGGTGAGACAACCTTAACCCTCCTTAAAAAAGGTGTATGCTGCTCAGGCTTTATTATATAGCATGGTTTTTAATGTTCCTTAAATTTTAGCTGCGAGTACATCACGCTGTTACGGTGGAATCCAAGAGTCCTTCAACATTGAATCAGGGTTAGAAGCTGCGCTAGCTTAGATACTGCCAAAAGAAGGGTTTATGTCTTTATGGGGTGCCTGGGTCACCATAGCAATTGCAGCTAGGGATAAGAGAGTTTTCTAAAATATTCCAGCGTTTGTTAGTTAAATGGATAATGAGGTGGAAGTTCTTAGGCATCTTAAGTCTGATCTAAACTTGTTGGTCTAAGTTCTATAGTAGTAAGAGTGACAGACTGTCCCTGTAGGGTCTCTCGTCTTCAGTTCTCTGGCACTCTTGTCCCCTGTTTGTCCTCTTGCAAAGAAGCTGTTTTAACACGGTCTTATTTTAAGATTCAGTGTTAGTCTGGAGTTAGGTGAATGTTACTGCCTCTTCTGTTTGTGGTCTCCTGGGTTGTTTCATTCATTTCTGGAGGGTCCCTGAACTCCACGTTAGACAGTTTAGGTGCAAGCATTTTTGGTCAGTTTGACTGTGGCTCGGACAAAGACTGAACCCAAGCCTTTATAAACATCATGGAAAGGTGGAAGAGAGGCACAGAGAGCAAATGTCAGCAATATTATTCTGTTCTCCAGGCACTTGATCATGGCAGTTAGTCACATAGAGAAGTCTGAGGTGCATCTTGCTGTGCACATGGGTTGGAAGCAGGAACATCTGTCAGGAAGTCGAGGAGATCTAGATCACTTCCAGAGCTGTGGTCTTGGCTTTCTCATCTTGCAGCTTCTTACCTGGTGGAGTGCAGAGCACCCATCTGGAACACGGATGATTCAGATCTGGCTGTCGTGCCAATGTAGCGGCTGTGCACACACACAGATGGTTCTTTGCAGCCAAACTGAACAGTTTGGTGTCTCATGCAGATGTTCCTCTTTGCCCGTCCGCCTGTGATCTGACTCCAGGTCAGACTTGGTTTTCTGTGTCCTTTCTTGAACTTGTTATTATACACCAGGTGATACATGCCGTGGGGCTGGGAAGCTCATAGCTCTAGATCCTGTCTCTTCTCCTGCTGTAGCTATGTGCCAGATGTGGATGCCAGCTGACTTCTGTGCCTGCAAAAAATCAGTTAGGAGGGGATGCAAGGAGGGAGCAGCCTTCAAAGCAAGCAGTGCTCTTTTCACATCAGTGTCAGAAGAGATTGCTTCTTTTCTGAGGAAGTCCTGCTTTAGATGAGTATTTGTTTTCCACTGGGAGTTTGTCCCGAGTGGCCCAGTTGGTCTCCCAGTGTTTCCTCAACCTGTGCTTACCCTACCAGAGAGCTGAGTGACTGGCTTTCAGGCAGAAGAGGGACATCAGTCTTGGGAAAGGGCTGAACAACAGCTTTTGCTGAGGAGGATGTTTCTCACGATGGGGCAGGGGACAGTTGGGTGGTGGCAGTGCTGGGCCACTGAGGAGGAGGGGAGCAGCTTTTGTACCTGGCAGATGTGGAGTGTGTGGAGTGTAGCTGGCCCTAGTGGCAGAGGGGTGTTTGCAGTAACGCGGCACTTGGTGGCTCCTGTTAGAAGATCTGTGAGCGACCGCTCCCCCCTTTTCCAGGCCATGAGGACCCTGAACTGGAAGTACCACCTGGGCCTGGTGAGCTTGGACGTGGAGCTGGCAGATCGCACCCTCTCCCTGTCTGTCTCTCCTGTGCATGCCGCCATCATTCTGCACTTCCAGACCAAGAGTGAGTGCTGTGGCGGAGACTCGGCGTGACCGCCCGTGTCTGTGTGCTTCCCGTGGGTGGGTGGGAAGGCCACGGTACTCGGGTGGCTGAAGGCTCTGAGGGCTCTGGCAGCAGGACCAAGACCTGGTTTGTGGGCTTGGATCTACCACAGGGCTCAGCCAGGTCTCCGGCTCTCCTAGGAGACAGCACCCAGCAGGGCCACAGCTCAGCACCCAGTCTGCTTTCAGGCAGTCGCTGCGCACAGCTCCGGGCAGTGGAGGTGGGCAGGCATCCTGTGCTCTTCTCTGATACCCGTGGGCTCTGCAGGTACGTGGACACTGACGGAGCTGAGTGAAGTGCTCAAGGTGCCCGTGACGTCGCTGAAGCGGAAGATGACGCTGTGGCTGCAGCAGGGTGTCCTGCGAGAAGAGCCCCAAGGCACCTTCACAGTGATTGAGGAGGAGCAGAAGGACCAGGTGGAGAAGGTCGTTCTGATCGACAGCGATGAGGAGGGGGACTCTGCCATGGCATCGCAGGCTGACCAGAAAGAGGAAGAGCTGCAGGTACCCATCCGTGTGTCTTGGCTGCCTGCAAAGCCAACAGGACGGTGCAGACATCCTGTGCTTTTGTTTTGGGGAAATCTGATTAAGGTGATGGATTCAATTTGAGCTTGGATTTGCATTTTCCACTGCAAGTGGCTAAATCCAGCATGAGGGTTTTTTGAAGTGGGTATCTTTTGATTAATGCTCACGGGTGCAGGTGCTGGATCACAGCCTTCCCTCCAGAAAAGTGCCCAGCTGCTGAGCCAGGCAACCATTTGGACATTTCCAAATCTGTTTTTTCAGTTTAAAAAAAGAAAAGGTCTGAGACATGATTTCATATTTGAAAATAGACAGAACTTACTTGGATTCACCCAAGCAGCACTTTTTGGCACTTAGACTGACAAAAAGACTTACCCAGCACTAACAGCTAGACCTTTGCCCTCTCTGGGTTGTGGTTCCTGGATGCTTCCAGTGCTTTTCCTACGCAGGTGTCATGTTGTGTGTGTGTTGTGCCACTGTGCAACACGGAGGTGTCATACTGATGTTTATCCACTGAGGGTCATGCACGTACTGCATGTCAAATCCTGCTTTCTAGCTGTGTGTCCCAACACCTGATGCTGTTCTTGGATATTTCCTGTTTAAAGCCCACATGCTCCTGGCTGAGAGCAGAACTTACTGCCAGCCACAGCCCTGCTCTGCTTTTGGGATATGGGACCCCATATAAGCAACCCCTTTCTTCATGGTATAGGTGTCAGTGTGGTTTACTGCTGCTTGTGTGTCCCCTTCTGCAGCTATTCTGGACGTACATCCAGGCTATGCTGACCAACCTCGAGAGCCTGTCCTTGGAGAGGATTCACAGCATGCTGAAGATGTTTGTGATGACAGGCCCAGTGGTTACAGAAATCGATATACAAGAGCTGCAGGGTTTTCTCCAGAAAAAGGTCCGGGACCAGCAACTCATCTACTCTGGAGGTGTCTATCGCCTGCCCAAGAACTGCAACTAGACTGTGAGCGTCCCTGCTTTTGTCTCTGTGTCACTTCTCTGTGCCTGTGCTCAGCTCCCGAGTGCCACCCAGCTCTCTGCATCCTGCTGGGTAGTTTCTCTGCTCTCAGGGTTTGCTGTGCCTTCTTCCCCAGAAGGGTGTCCTTTTCCACATGGAGACAGCTCAGCAGCAGCCTGGGCCGTGCACCCCACAACTTCTGGGACTTGGCCTGCTCCCCCCATTACTTTTCCTCCCACATGTGGAGCCCACTTCACTGGTTAATAAAAACCAGCAGTCTCCTTTCTCTGATGGTACCAACTCTTTTCTTTCCTCTCAGCAGAGCACTCTTGGCATCAGCCTTCCCACACTGAAAGGGCAGGCAGGAAGCTCCCTAGTCTGTGAGGCACCGTCTCCCTTTCCTTGGGTCTCCATCTGTAGCCCCGGGAGGTTTTGGGAGGGGGACTGTTGGCTCCAGTTGCTGTCTGGGTCTCTTTGTGTGGCTAAAGCAGCATTCCTGCAGCTGGCTGGGATGAGCAAGACCTACACCAAAGCAAGTGTTCACACTGTCTCCTCTGTCTTACGTGGGAGGAAGACTCCAGGGTCTGCTTACCTTTGGGACTCTGAAATTGTGTGGAATAATTTTATTGTGGGAGGAAGAAGGCTTTAGATGGATGAGACATAGCAGTTCTTCAGGGCAAGCCCTGGAGGGTAAGTGGATTATCCGGGCACTGGTAGGTTTGCTTTACTATGACACAAATATCTGTTTCCCAACACCATGGCTGCTGCCCTCAAGGGTGCATTGTCCTGGTGTGCTTCAGAGTCACTGGCACCACTGGGATCAGTGAGGCAGTTGGATAAGATAATCCCTGAGCTTTGTTGGTTAAACATCGTGCCACCAACCTGGGTATCCAACAGTGGGTTTCAAGATTGTATTCTGTCTCCGCTTGATAACATGCAGGCTTCCTCAGCCCTGCTTTCTTGGGTGGGTTTTGCTCATCAGGAGGAATATGCTGGGGAACTTTGGCTTGTACTAAAAATTTGCTTTCTGTGAAGTAGAGTGAGTTTCCACAGTGCAAGGAGTCTTTCCCCTTCTCTGCTGAATCTTCTATCCCAGCATGGCGGCACTGCAGCAGCTGGAATTGAGGTAACAAAGGGCCACACGTAAAACACTGGAGCAACCCTGGCTGTGCATCCGGGTGCATGAGAGACTTGTGGAACACAGAAAACAACTCATATTTAACATTCAGCCTTGGTTTTCAGTGCCTAAAGGCCTGGAGGTCCCACGCTGTAGGCATCCTTCGTGTAGCTGCAGGCAGTGGGGTATGGCACTTACATTTACATTTTTCCTCTGTGGGTGAGAGCATGTGTTCTGGTTTCCCCCTGGCACTTTACTCCAGGCTGGTGGTGGTGTGGCACTAGGAGATGGTGCATTCTGTTGTGGAGCTTAAAATGTTTCTTGTGGCGCAGCGGCTCTGGAAATAACTAAATAAACCCTGATCTGTGAATGTGTATGATACTGCTCCAGGTAAAGCCAAGAAAGATGAACAGTAGCTACTCCTGCATCACAGCTGGCAGGGGAGGGAAATCTATGCCCGAAGGCGTGAGGAGCCCCACCAGACCCTGGCAGGGCACCCGGCTGGATCGGGTGGTGGTGGAGGTTGGGTGGGCAGGACACAGCATTGTCCAGCGTGGGACGTGGCTGGGGACGTCCCTGGGAGCCACGCCTGGGACCCACGCGTCAAGGCCACGAGACACACAGTCTTGCCAAACCGCAGCTCGTTAAACCCCAGGCCCAGGTCTCTGCTGCCTGCTCGGTGCTCCTGCATCAGGTCCCGGTGGGTTCTTCCTTGCAGAAAACACCTCCTGGGGTCTTCTCCACATTCCCTCAAAGGCTGCTCAGCTCCTCGTGCTCTTGCTTAGACGCTCACCCGCCACTGAATAAATCAAACCAGCCCATGAGTGCCTGAGCTCCGTCCAAAACCCAAATGCCTTGGGAGGGTGAGAGGGAGCAAGATGTGGGTAGGTTATGTGGACATCCCTGTAGGATACCTATTTCCTCTGGGTGCCGCAGGTGCAGAGCTCCAGGGCTGCGTTTTGCAGCTTCTCTTACTTTATTTAGTTTAGTTTTATTTTTTGGGGAAAGAAAGCTGAGCATCTGGAAGGGTAGGCGGCTGCGGGGTCAGCGTCTGCCGGCGGCGGGAGCCGGGGCTGCCCGGGCTGTGCCACCGCACATCCCACTCCACGCCTTGTGCCTGACCATCAAACGTCCGGGCACCCTGCGGCTGCGACGGGGCGGGGAAGTGTCTCTCTTTGATCTTTAGAGATCAAAGAAACCATCAGCTTTGCAGTGGGGCTGCTGGCAGCCAGGGCTGCCCCCAGCCACCGATGGAGCCAGGGCTGGCTGCTGCGGCGAGGAATGTGGCTGTGAGTGACTCCAGGGCCCTGGCTGGTTCTGCTTTGCTTATAGATGCAAAAATATTGATTCATGTATGAGTGCAGGTGGATATATTCTTCCCACAGGGCTTCCTCACCTCCCAGAGCAGGGTGCTGCGGGGCAGGGAGCGTGCCCTGGCCGTACCCCATCCCCGTGATGAGGGACACATCCAGCCCTCCCTGCCATGCCCAGATCCCTGGCGGTGCTGTGCAGGTTGGGGCGAGGAATGAGCATCTTTCCTGCCCTGACTTTTCCCAGCTGTCCTGATGCTGCCCTGTGGGATGGACCCGTGGGGTGTGATGAGTTCGTCCGTCCTGAGCGGGAGGTTGAGCGTTGCCACTTGGGGGGACCCGGAGTCGCTTCTTTCCCCACGGGAGGTCCCGGGGTGGCTCAGCCAGAGCCACTGCCTGAGCTGTAGTGTGGTTGTTTCAAAGTGTTACAGTAGGAAAAACTCTGGTTTAACGAGCGCTTCAGCTTTTACGGAATGGAGAAGTCTTAAAATTAATTAAAACAAGCTGGAAATGCAATTTTTCAGCCTGAACGGAAGAAGCTAGAGTAAAAGAAAGGGGCTTTGGGCTCTCCTCTGCACTGTTTGCCATGCAGCCACGTTACTTCAGGCCAGAGCTGAATCTGCTGGCCAAGGCAAAGGCCTGTCCTGGGTCCCTCGCCTTTGCAAATCGCTTTGGCTTTTAGAAGAAAGAAAACAAGAAATACTTACAGCTTGAAAATGCACATAAAATCCCATTTCTCTACTCCCTAGGTGTTTGGAAATGGCTTCAGTTCATCCAGCGTGTTTTCCAGCCACCTTTGTTGCGCGACGTAAACCCTTCCTGTGAACACTCGTTCACGCAGGAAAGTGTTACGGTGATTTTCTCTGATCACCACGTGCAAACTGAGTCGATAATTGCAGCGTTGGCAGGATGCTGTGTAGGTGCCTGTTCCACCCACTGCAGGAGGAGTGGCTGGGGGCACTCGCTTCTCTCCATCTTTGCCAAATTATTTTCCCCAATTTTCCAGTTTTTCCTCCAATTTTCCACTTTTTTTTCCAAAGCCAAAAGCAGCGTGGCTCCGAAGCCTCCATGCGCAGCAGTGTGTGCGGCTGCTCCTTGCCCTCTCCCGGTGCCCTGTGGCACAGCCGTGACCTTCCCCGTGGCCCTGCGACGCCACTGAGCCCAGCACATGAGGGGGTGAAGCTGCCAAACCCATTTTTGCTTTTTTTTTTCCTTTTTAAAATTGTTTTAGTGAGGCGGGGATGGAGCTGAGCTGGAGGAAAAAGAAGCAGCGGATTTAAATTGGGTTTTAGGAGCGGTCATCTGGACCAGTGCTCCTTGAATGGCTTTAAAAAAAAGAAATTAGATAAAACCCCTTGCATTCCTTCAAAAAGAGCAGTCGCTCTCATTTTACCTTGGTCTATTTATAAACTGTTTAGAAGGGCCATGATAACCCAAGCAGGATGCGGCGTCCCTGCAGGGGACATTCCCCGGCCCGCAGATAAACTGTTTGGGTTATTTAGGACATGTTAAAGCAGGGCTTCTTAGGAAGGTTGGAAATTTTTGCTAATAGTGAGACTGGGAAGAGCACAGGGTCTGGCTCAACAGCACCGGGACCGGCATCCTGCCCGGGGAGTCCCTGACCTGCTGCTGGTTTTACGCCGAGCTTGCTGCTGTTGGTGCTCCTTGCTGATCCACCGGCTTTAGGATGCGGGAGGGCTGACCGTGAGGAGGGACCCCGTGGAAGCGAGAGGCTGGGGCAGCAGCAGAAATTGAGAGCAGATCAACACAAGGTGGGTGATATAAAAGGAAAAAAATACCCACCCAAGAGCCTAAGCCATGGCTAATGCGGCTGTGGAGCCGAGGGGCGGGCGGTCACACTGCAAATGTTTGGAAAAAGGACCTCTGGGTCTGGAAATGACCCCGCGGGGCCGGATCCTGCCCATGATGCCTGCCAGGAGCTGCTGCCCCCATCCGCGTGGGCAGCCTCGCGCCAAGGAAGCTGCTGCCCACCGTGAATCAGATTATCTTATTATATACTTTTATTCTCCCCTTTTTGGGGCCGCAGGAGGGGCTGGCTCAGAGGTCAGAGCCCGTGGGGCTGCTCAGGGGTTTCTGTATCCCCCACCCAGGCACCATTTCCCCTTTTCCACTTGCAGACTCTCACTTTTAATTTTGGGGCTCCCTGCCTGCTCTGGGCTTTGCATCCATGGGTCATATATCTGATCTGTACATCCGTTTTCATGTCAGCTCCAAGCCCGTGACCTTTTCAGCTGCCTTTAGCTTCTTTTTTGACAGATTTCCTCCTTTTTTGCAGAGTTTGCCTGGGCAAGATCAGTGCTGCCGGGTGTGGGACCCTCTGTCCCAGAACTGCCAGGGCTCACTCTGGACCCGTTCTGGGGTCTGGGCACCCACAGCCCCCCAAAGGAATCTGCCAGACCCAGGGGTTTGGTTGTGTTATTCTGAATTTCTGGGGGGGCAGAGGGGCCGGGGGCATTTGCACATGTCCAGGGATGCAGCTGCTGCTATCAGCCCTGGAGGTGTTTTGGCTAAATAGGCAATGTGCCAAAAAATGGAGGAAAAACCTAAAACTGTCATTTAAGTCAGTGCCCAGCAGCAAGGGGCCGTGCAGCCACCCTGACCTCCAGCAATGTTTTCTGGTGGGTGCTGTTCACCTGCGGGTACCCAGAACAGCTCCATCTCCCCCTCCCCGGGGCTTTCTTGCCCCTTTTCCCCCGGGTGCCGCGGGAGAGGCTGTGTTTGCCCAGGATTTGCATTCGTGGCTCTGCAGGAAGGGCCGTGGCACCCGCAGCCGCTCGTCCCCATCCTGGCCCGGCCGCTGTTTCCTCCCTGTGTGGGGCCCGGCTGGGGGGGCCCAGCCTCTGCGCTGGCGGGGACACAGGGGACAGGGCTGGTGGCCCCAAGGTGACGGGGGGGGGGGTGGGACGACTGGGCATGGCCCCCCCAGCTGCACTGTCCCCCTGCACAAACACGTCACCCCCAACGCGGTGCCTCCCCCCCCACACACCTCCCCCCTTGCCCTGCCCTGATGTCTACACGTGCCCCCGCATTGCACAGCCCCTCCCTGGGCACAGCCCTCCCCATTGCACATGGGACCCCCCCAATGTGCTGTCCCTCTGCATGCATCGCCCCCCCCATTGCACTGCCCCCCACACAGCCCCCACCCCATTGCATTGCCCCCCACACACAGCCCCCTCCAATTGCATTTTGCCCCACTGCCTGCATATACCCCCCTCCCCAGGATGTCCCCTCCCCACGACGCCCTTCTCCCTCTGCTTTGGGGTGCCAAAGGTCCCCAGAGCCCCATGGGGGGGCACACAGCCCCCACCTGGGGGCTGTGGCGGGGGCAGCAGCAGCACAAGGTGATATTTTGGCCAGGAACACGAGCGGGGGCTGTTTTCCAGGGTCCTGTCCCCCTTGTCCGATGGGCCACGCCAGAAGGACATCCCCAAGTGGGACACCTCTTGGTGCCAGCGCTGCCCCTGCCCTGTCCTCCTGCCCCCCCCCCAGGCCCCCCCCTGGCTTTTTTGGCAGCTGCCCCAGGCTGAGCTGGTGATTTCGGAGGCTGGTTGGCGGTGACACCCTGCGTGCATCGCCCCGTCACCCGCACGGTGCCCCCCCCTGGTTGGGCACGGGCTGGTGGTGGCCACGCTGCCCTGTTGGGGTCCCTGGCTGTGGTCCCCGGCATCTCCCTCTGTCCCCAGGGCTTGGGAGGGGGTTTCCAAACCCCTGGTTTCCTGCTGCGTTTCAGAGGCTTCCTGCGCCCCCCCCCACCCCCCGGCTGCCCATGGGGCTCTGGGGACAGCTCATGCTGCTGCCCAGTTGCAGCAATACATTTTTCTCAGGGCTGTTGAGATTTTCTAACAGCCCTCGGGTGGTGGCTGGGAGCTTCTTGCTCCTTTAATTGCTTCTTTTAGGGTTTGGGGAGGGGGGCATAGTTTTTTGGGTTTTGTTATTTTTTTAATATTTTTCAACCATGCTGCTTGGGAGGTGCTCTTCCTTTGCAAAAATCTGAATTAGCCAGGAAAAAAAATCTCTTTTCATGTCTGTTCCCAAAACG